CATGTTGGAAGGTATTTTAATGGACTCTCCTCCTGGCTCCAGGGGTCCCCATAACTCACAAAGGCCAGTGCGGGGGAGAGCAGAGCACAGGCCAGAGCAGCCCTCGGCAGCTGCTGCACCTGCTGCACATCAGGGTTCGGGCTGGGTTTCTGAGGCACCTGTTGTCCAATTCAAGGCCATCAGTCAGTCACTACTCCCTTGCCTCGTCCCAATGCTCGGAAGTAGCTCAGAAGCGCAACAGATTCTGTTCCCGCAGACGTCCCTAAGAAAGGCTGCTTTGTGCACTTCACTTCCCCAGGCCCCCGATCTCCCCAAGTCCGGGGGCAGCAACTTTATTAGGTCTGAGGTCAACCTGGCGACCTGCTTTCCTTTGCGGCCTGGAAGGAATGACTACTGATGGAGTCTACCGGGGCAGCCTTCCTCCTTGGACTCTGCTTTTATGGACGTGTCCACCGATAGCGAAGCCCAGGGCCAACAGACAAGAACTTGGGCCTCGGGCCTCCTGCCCCTTTCTTCTCCCTGCAATGGCACGGAGGCCTCAGCTAGGAGTTCAGCCAGGTATGAACACTGACTCAGGAATCTGTGCTCAGGGTCCTTGTGGAGGAGCCCCTTCCTGTCTCGAAGATGTGCCTTGCAGCTGGGAGAGAGACAAAGTGAGCTGAAAATATGGCCCAGAGATTACCGTCTGGGGGAGGAGTCACACACATGCCTGACAGCACTGAGCAGCCACAGGGCGAAGGCCCCAGACCACCTGCGCACGGCCCTCGGGCCTGTGTGTCTGGGCATCGCTCTCCTCACGGTGACATGGCAGCACGGGCATCCCTCCGTCCCAGCTGCTCTGCGCACCTGGCTCTCCCCTGTCCGAGAAGGAAGACCACACTCTGCCACTGTGTTTATGGGAGCACCAGGGGAGGTGCTAAATATTCCGCCATCCTAGAATCTTGAGTGTTTTGCTTAAAAAAAAATGTCCCTCTTCGGAACTGCGCCCTATGCGATGCTTCCAGATGAATTTGGCCCAGGGTAGAGCAGCCATTAACACACTGCAGGAGCGAGAGCTTGGAGGATAAGACCACCCTGCACTGTATCGGGCTTCCCGGAGTACAAAGCATCTTCACATGCACCATGTTACTGGTCCTCACATCAGCCCTGTGAGGTAAGCAAACACTTTACAGGAGAAAAAACGTTGGATTTGACCCACAGCAAAATGCCATAATAATAAGTTCTAACTCTGCTCTTGCCAAAAACGAACGCATGACCTAGGGAGAATTATTTAGCCCCAGTTAAAGTTCTTTTCTCACAATGGAGGGAGCAGCAGGTGATGCTGACATAGTGTGCTGCCCAAAGACCTCAGAAACCAGCTTCATCGTGTGGGAAATGTCATATAAGCTACGCATTCTGCTTGGTAGTCCTCCTCATCCGTAGGATCTCAGCTCTAAATCGCTTCTAGGAAACCTTCTCCAGCCTCCTCACGCTCCTAAGCCTCTGGACTTGGTCTTCAGGGCACTTTCCGGCTTGCATTGCTCGTGCACCCTGGTTTCCATGACGACACGGGTCGTGATATCCTTTCTCAGGGGTCACCCAGCACCTCACATCCTCAGGGTGATTTATAACGATTCCTTCAATGAAAGAAATGAAGACACTTGGTGTTCTACTCACGTTTCTTCTTGTGCAATGAACAGAACAAACTAAGGTAAAGTGAAAGGTTAAAAAAAAAGTTATAAGAATAAAGATATAACAGTAAACCAGATACACTCATTTCTCAAATATGATTACAATTAGTTCCAAGCTGTTGGCTGGGAAAGAAGGAAAAAAGAGTAAGGAGGGGAAGAGAGAGATTTTAATAAGCATAAACCCTACTATATCTCTAATATAAAAGCAAGCTGAACAGTGTTAGGATATTCCGGATCCTATGCATTAAAGCTTTATACTGCAGGTAACTAACCTGCGCGCTCGGGGGAACCAAGGAGTTGGCAGCAGCAGTGCCACCGGGCAAGCTTTTCAGAAGCTAGGCAAAATTAGAAACACCCAGAACTCACCGCTCCGGCACAAATTAACGTTTTTTAAGGAAACGATTCAACGCAAGGACCTCGTTTTGTCTTGCAATCTCTTTCATCGGATCCTAAACACTGCTCTTTCGCGACCACCAGCGTCATAACAAACAACTCTCCCCAAGAGCTGCTGAAAGAGGGAGCCCGAGGGACAGAAAGCACCCGTGTCCTCATCCACACCCCAACACGCAAGACGACTACCTTCCCCGGCAGATGCCGAACCCCTGGGAAGTCTGTTTGGACAAAAGGCGCTGGAACTCGGACTTTGCAGAAGGCTCGGTTTCTACAGCTGCCCTTGTGCCCTGTATTGATAAGGCATCAGAAGACAGGCTCGATTTTACCTAAAAATCACGGGCTCTGAATGTTTTCCTGAAGAGCACACATTCAAGAAAAAACATCAGAAATGTTTGCCATTTTGAAAAGAACATGGGGACCATGTAGAGCTCGGATTAAAAGATTGGAATATGATCTGTAGCCCCCGCGACAATCATAATCATTCAAGGAGCCTACGTCTTGGCACCACACCCCAAATTACTGCTCCTGGCATTTAAGTGCCTGCTATGGCTCTTGGAAATCAGCAAGCCCTTAGCGCAGGGCCCCTGGAACTCCAAAGGAAAGGAGCCGCACAGGGTCTGATGAATCCCACGTGTCCATTAAGGGAGGGGAGGGTGCAGAACCCACCCCCACCCCCAGAGCTGTGCCATTCAAGATCCAGGCCCCATGAGGGGCAAGGCTCTTTGTTCAGAAAGATGAACGCAAGCCATCCTGGTTAACAGAATTCCCAAAACAAAGCCAAAACCCACACATAGCCCTGGTGTTTCGTGTTTGTGCGTAAGCATTTTAAAATCCCAATACTCACTTTTCTTGGAAACGAGAAGAGAGGAACTTTTGAGTTCAGCTGCTACCAAGCGCTACCTCACCAAACCTGAGAATCACAACTGGCTCTGGAAGCCGTTTCTGAAGTTCAAAAGGATCTGCCCTCGACCCTGTTAGTCTCACTTTGTAGAAAATCCCCCTCCCCCCTCAAAAAAACAAGCACAAAACAAAATGAAACCAAAACTACTAGGAAACCAAACCAAACCAAAAGCTCTGTGGTTTTTACGGCTGCCCACGTCCCTCTTCCTGTTCATCCCCCAATCCTTACCCCAGGCTTTCTTGCACACTTACCACATGAGAATTCTCAATTCATATTACACAGTTTTACAAAGTATCATACTTTACAAAGATATCTGCTTGTAAGAACATGTATTAAGTAACTTCAAAATGCAATGGGTATTTAAAGCGTGCCTTTAACATTTTTGTTAAACATTTTTTGTACTCGTTCAATAGAAACTTACCTGGCCACTGGGTACAGCGAGCAATAAAACTGCCGGCCCGCAATGTGCTAAGTAGTGACTCACACGAGACAAGTATACACTGTAAGTGCCTGGCTTCCCATGTTCCTTTGAAGAGGAGCGTCCTTGATGGGGAGTACAACTCCAGGCTTGCAAGCGTTTGGGAGATCCTCTGGAACTCAGCTCTGAGGCATTCTTCCGGGGGCCCAGGAGGCTGAGGGGCTGACCGCAGTCAGAACACGGGGCTCTGCCACCTGCCCTGCCGGCCTCTCCCTGGCACCACGGGCAGGTGCTTCTCCCTCTGCCACTCAGTCCATCACTCCCGCGGAACGCTGACGGAGCAGAAAAGGACAATAAAGCACCCTGGTATCAAGGCTGCGCTTTCGCCTCTCAGAAACCCCGAAAGTGCGGACAACCGAGAAGGCTTCGAACCAGCAGCGTCATGGAACAGCTGGAATGAGCGCACAGGAAGGGGATGGAGAGGCCGAGAGCTCGGCTGCCAGGACGCGGCCCTGCCTCTCACTCGGGGCCACAGGCAAGCTGCTGGACCTCGATGCACCTCTGCCTCCTCACCTGCAAATGGGAATGGGTTAATACGCACTGAGCTTTTAGAATAATGCCTGGCACCCGTTCAGCACTTTATCCTGCAGAGAATTCTGCTCCTCTTTCAAAAACACAGAACCCCCAACTGGGATCATTTGACAGAGTCCCAAACGCAGCAGGTGACTCTTGAGAACTGATCTTGTAACCAGTGACACATTCGGAAGAGAAGCCTAGGGCAGGAAGCTAATCCCTTTAAGGAATAAAAATTTCAAAACATCCCCCTGCACCTTGGATAGTAACCAAGGCTGAAATCCCAAATTAGATTCCTACGGACAGTTCTGTGAAAAAGGAACTCTGTATGGAGCCATCATTTTCTAGGATGATATTCTCACTTGTGAAGCAGCTCTAGTTGGTGAAATGTTACCCCCTCACCAATCAGTGTGGCCTTGCTATGTCATCAGTGCCACTAGAAGGCAGTGCAGTGGTAAGAACACTGATCTGCAACTGGCTCCGAGGTCTAAGACCAGGAGGCAGTGGTGCAGGTGGTGGAGGGGGGGAAAGGGTACATCAAGTCAGTCACCACTGCTGACGGCCAAACACTCCCCACCCATGTGAGATGGTCACGTTGACCAAAATTAAAACACTTTTATGTTGAAAGTGGTTTGTTTCAAGGATGGGATGCCTCAGGGCTAAGAATGGGGGCAGAGGGGAGGGGCGTAGAGGGAGAAGGTATCTAAGGAACTTACGATGTCTATGTTGGTGTAGCCACAAGGTGTCCCACTTTATAATAATTCTCTAAACGGTTCCCAGGCTTTATACACTCTGCATGCATGTCTGTCTCACAATTAAAGCAATGGCTTTAGTAATGTATTCTACGGGCAGACACTCAGCTAGGGTTGTTTTCCCCACAAGACAGGAAACATGACATTTGAGAGACCAGGTGTGCCCCACTCAAACCTAGTAAAAAGGGTCACCCTCTAGCATGTGTCCCCACGTGTCTCACAAGAAGTTTCTCCCGCTCCTGTGACCTTCTTGTACCTGGCGCAGCGCCATAAGTGAAAACACACAAACGTTGACTGACAACATCAGCTTTTAATAATGGAAACAAATTGCCAATCCAAAAACAATTTCAGGGAAGAAAAATGTTCCCTATAAAAAATAAACTTAAACACTCCTCAACATTATAAATATTATAACTTTTTACGTGTGCGATTTAAAATGCTCCCCTGCAATATCTCCCCCCTTCATTTGACATCACTCCTGTACCATCACATAGGGAAAACAGTATCACAGCAAAGCTTAGTTTAATTTAACGTAAGAATTTGCACAATGATTTTTAATAAAAACCGGTGGCCTTACTGGCCCTTCTTTTTTTAATACATGAACCTTGCTGCAGTAACCAGTGTCTTGGAGAAAGCATCGATCTTCAAGAACAGCAAGAACATTTTCCGAATTGCAGCTTGTAGTGCACATGGCGACGATGAACGGGGTGTGGATGATACAGGGGAGGGGGCCTATTTTAAGACAATCTACTTCAAGTAAAAAAAAAAAAAAAAAAAAAAAAAAAAAAAAAAAAAAAAATTCACAGATACCCATCAGCTACTACATTAGGTTCTAACAGTGTCTTAATCTGAGAAACAAATGCTTCACAAAATATAAGCTTACTGGGGTGGGTGAAGAAGAGAGCAGGTGGTTGATAACACTATCCTCAAACCCAAGCCACAGCCCGAACAGTAAAACCAGTATAAAAACCGTGAAGGCATTCCCTGAACAATAAAAGTGTTCGATGACAATGACAACTAAAACCTCATCAATGCACTAAAAAGAAGTCACATGCAAAATTAAACAAGATGTGCCATACATGTTTTATAGCTAGCTCTACTCTTTTTCCCATCTTTCCTTGAAAAGCTGAGGAAGATACGATTGTCTCAGTGACGTGCGGCAGATCACCGCCGACACTCCATCTGCCTCTGAGAGGGGCCCTCTGACTGAGGAGCCCCCGGGAGGGAGACAAATGCAATCAAAGGCACAGTTCGGGTAAAAGGCAAAAAGCTGAAGCACCTCGGAATTTCACAAAGAATCCAGTAGGTGTCACCAAAGCGTTAACAATTCCTTGGGAATTTATAAAAACAAAACAAAAAAATATATAGACAAAAAATAATAGACTGTAAATCCCTCTCTAGAACCACAGTTACACCTTTCCCATGGTTTTCAGATGAACTGCTGCCTACAATGAGGTTATTTAGCTTGCTTTAAGGAAGGCTTCCATTGCACACGCGTTTCTTTGGTCGGAAGGAACATGCACTTTTGTTAAAAGGTTTCCACAAACTGTCCCTCTGCGGTGGCCAGGGGTGGCCCTCCCCTTTCCTGCCGTCGTCGTCCTCCTGAGAACCGAGGCTCCGGTAGTACTGGGTCTTTCAGCCAGAGCCCTGGTCCCCGGTACACGGAACGGACTCCCATTCACAAGAGAGAGGGAGAAGGGAAAGGAAGGGGAGGGGAAGGAAAAGGGAAACGGAGTGATTGTCACCAAGTGTGCAGGGAGCTCTTCCCTGGACAAATCTCTCAGCCAACCATCTGGAGAAACGGGCCCTCCCCAGACTCCTTTTCAGCTTTAAAAACAACCTCAGGGAAAAGAGTAACTTAGCAGGCGTTCAACAGTCCCTGCTCCACAGGCCGGGGGAAGCTGCACCTTCCACGCGAAAAGGCAGGCCCGGGAAGGCAGGCTCCGGCTCGGCTCCCGCTCCCACTCCCGCTCCCGGCTCTGCACCATCACCGGCCGCAGGCCACCTTCAGTCGGCCTCCGTCACCATCCCTCTCTTTGGTCTAGCTCCTACGTTCTTTGGTGCCGTTTCCCTATTTTATTCACCAGGAAACCAAGCACTACTACAGTGGCCCTAACACCTCAAAACACTGAACGTTTTAATCCTTTACAAACAAATACACCTTTCCCTCTCCTCCATCAACCCGGCACCCAAACCGCCCTCACTCAGAGCTCCTCCAGCTCCACTCACGCCTTCTTCCAAACTTGCTCTTTACTTTCTTGAAATGCCAAGCTCCTCCAAAATCCTTCCCAAACTCCTGAGTTCCCAGCTTCCTGTGCCTTTCATTCACGTGGATGTTCCCTCTGATATTGGGGGGGAAAAAAAAAAAAAAAAAAAGGTAGTTTCAACAGAGGACAAGTATTCAGATTCCTGGTTAAGCTTTTTAAAAATCATTTGCACATCCTTAAGCTTAACAACATCATCATCAAATAATTAAAATATCAAAGAAAACGAGAAACAAAACCCAGAGTCCATGCTTCCGAGCACGCGCGGCCCAGCTCCACGGCTCGCGGGCGGGCGGGACGCGCAGTAACAGGCGAGCCCGCAGGCTCCGGGCAGAGGCCCAGGCGCGGGGGCCGTGCGGTCCGGAGAGCTCCTCTAGGGATAAAGGGGAAGCCCCTCGCATCACGGGGCCGGGAAACAGCCCTCCGAGACGAGACGAGAGGAGATCCGCTGCCGGTGCGTCCGCAGTCCCTGCGCCCTGAGCTCGGGCCGCCTTAGCCCGGCTTCCACACCTCGCTGAGCGCCGCCTCCAGCTTCTGCCTGTAGGCCGTGTAGCGCCTCTTCAGGTTATACAGCTGCTCGTCCTCCTCCTTGTCCAGGATGCGCAAGAAGTTCTGCAGCTCCGGGAGGCTGAAGGCTTCCCACTGGGAGAGAAGGCAAAAGGAGAAACGCCAGGTGTTTAATTCCGTCCGGACCAAGGATGCCGCCCGGGAGCGCCCAACATGTGCGGGTTCCTGCCTGGGCACTCAGCCCCGCGCCTGCAGGGCCTCGGGTTCCAGAGCCTCGCTGCCATGCCCACCGCGCCACCCGCCCTGGCTGCTCCGCGGCCCTCCGTCCTCCCGGGGCCCCGCTAAGGCCAGGACCGCACGGCCCACACCCATTACACACGTTCACTGGCTGACCCCCGAGCATCAGGACAACCCCTCACTCCCTCCATCCGTGCCCTCTCCTCGGAGTCGTCGCTGCCCCTACCTCTTCCTCTGCTCCCTCAGGCAACGTGATCACTTCCCAAACTTTCTCCCTCTCAACGGCCACCGCCATCTCCTTCCCTGGCCTCCTCACGCCACTCCACGCCCCCCAACCTGTTCCCCACCGCCAGCCTGAACACAAGTCCCCGCCCCATCCGCCATTCCTGTCGGTGGTTCCAGTTGCCCCAGTCAATCCAGTCCACCATGGTCCAAACACATTAAATGGAATTCCAGAGATAAACAATGCGTAAGTCTTAAATCTCCGCCACCGTGAGAAGCAGGAAGAAATCTCGAGCCCCCCGGGCCACCCCTCCCAGCAAGGAGCCGCCCTTCGGCTGGCCTCCTCGCTGCATATGCTCCCGGCCCATTGGTCGGCAGCGCCTCAGTTCTCAGACTGAGGGTCCCCCAGACTGAGGGTCCCCCAGACTGAGGGTCCCCTGTCCGCGTGCTGGTGCTCACGTAACCCTTATCTTACAGCACAGCTCAGATTGATGCTGGCAGCTCAGATATGATGAAGAGAAGCAGTAAAGTGCTTCCTGTAAGTAAAAAGGGTTTGGTACTATCTGGGGTTCCGGTCATCCACTTGGGGGCCTACAGGCTAGGGAGGGCGACCATACTCAGTAAAACGCCAATCTGGTGATGACCCGCCCCTCCTGGGGATCACTCAATGCTTCCCTCGGTTGCTTCTGCGAAGTGTGAAAGACCCTCCCCTCTCTCACACTGTCCCCCTCACCTACGACCCCAAGTGGCTCTGCACATGTTTTCCCTTCCTCCACTTTGCCTGGCGAACTCCTACTCAAAACAATCGAGTCTCGGCTTAAATGCCACTTTCTCTAAGAAGCCTTCCGTGATTTCCTCCCTCCCCACCCCCGACCCAGGACGAAGTCTACTAGAAAGCTCTCACTGAGCACTGGTAACCCTGACCAAAAAAGACACAGGAATTATTATAATCATCTGCTGAGCATTCCTCTCACCTACACCAAGCTGTCATACCTTTCACTATTTTGGCTTTGTCTCTTGCCCTTGTGTTTCCGAGTTGTCCCTAGAAGCACTGGGTACTTAGAAGGCACAAAATCAATGTTTGTGGGTGGTTTTCCAGTTTTTCAGTAGAACAGTACATATCAAGAAGGGTATATGCATCGGCTGGGAGGACTTTTCAAACCTGACATCCTCCCCTCCCAAAAGGGGCCCTGGGTCCTGGCTGCGAGCTGCCACAGCCGATCCCGATGGGAATTCCCAGTGGGGAGGGGCAGGGGAGAGCTGGAGAGAATCCAATTCGGCAGACAGAGGGGACAGAGCAAAACCACCCAGTGGCTCCATGACAGAGGGGCCCCGGAGATGGGGATCATTATCAAAGGAAATGAGAAACATGGAACAGGAGGGTAAAACTTCCTACACTGGAATATTCTGTTAAACTTTAAACATTAACGTTTTACTTTTCACATATGTTCTCCAAAATAAAATAAGTTCCTCCCTCTTCCTGCCGGCTATGGATTTCTTCCCCCAATTTAGCTTAACCGTAAAACACTGAGAAATGAGAACACCATTCAGAGGTCTAATAAAGCAATTCAGAGCATTAAAACACAAGGTAAATTTCAAAACTATAACTCCCTCCCAGACAATAAATATGGCTCTGATTGCACTACCATGTGCAGTGTGTCAAGGCCCATGGCCAGGAAAATGAGACGTTAGCAAGGCGAGGCTGACGGGCACGTCCCCTGGCAGGAGAAACGCTGCCACGCGTCAAACCAAAGCCACGCCCCGTTTTCTCCCAAAAATGACGGTGAATTTTAAAACTCCAGAACATTAGAATCCAAAAGGAACTTCAAAAGTGCCCAAATAAAGTTACAATTCACATGGATGGACATAAGCATACTACTGTATTTACAAAGCATATTTACAGTCATTTCTAATTTGCAACTTAAAACCACCTTTTAAAGTCCTTAGTCCCACTTCTCAGATGTTAAAACTGAACCGAAGAGATTAGAGTTACCCAAGGTCATACTCCTAATCTAACGGAGGCGGAGTCCTGGTCCCCCTTTTTTTTTTTTAAATATACATTTTATTGATTTTTTTACAGAGAGGAAGGGAGAGAGATAGAGAGCTAAAAACGTCGATGAGAGAGAAACATCGACCAGCTGCCTCTTGCACACCCCCTACCGAGGATGTGCCCGCAACCAAGGTACATGCCCTTGACCGGAATCGAACCTGGGACCTTTCAGTCCGCAGACCGACGCTCTACCACTGAGCCAAACTGGCTTCGGCTGGTCCCCTAACTTTTTAACCCAGAAACCCTCTTCTCGCTGCATCACAAACTGGACAGTTCATACCATTTCCTGTTGCAGACAAAGGACGGAGACCTGGAGCCCGAGAGACTTGCTCAAGTGTCCTTTCAAAGGTGACACTTGATCTAGGGCGACAGTCCAAAGTGTTTTCTCCTCCAACTCACTGGCCTAAATACAACCCTCCCCGGAGGGAAAACGGCAAACGATGGCACATCCATAAACATAATTTCCTAATCATCTGGGCCAAGAGGAAAAAAAGGATCCTACAACCTTCAGTGTCTCTCCTGGTAAAGAGATCGAGTTCCCTTTTATTCCCCTTTGGAGTGAATTAGCCTGGAGACTTCGTTAGTGGAGAACATATGGAGAGTGTCAGCTTTCAAAGTTCGGCTGGATTAGAGGAATTCAGAGGTGGAGGGGCTGAGAATGACTCTTTGGGTGGAGATCCGGTGAAAACGCTGTTTCCTCCACCGCTGGAAGCGACAGGCCAAGGTAACGAGCGTGTAAAAGAAATGCTGTGGACTAACCCTGGGCTCATTCCCAACAATTCAAAAACACAGAAAGCCGCCCTCCGCAGGGCAACCCTCCCTCTCCCGACGGCAAACTCGCTCGGTTGGAGCCACAAAGCGGGACCAACTGGTGGGCACCGTTTAAAGCAGTCATGGACTTACCTCTCCGATTTCATGCTCGCGGAGAACAAAACTGAGCGTGTCTGTCCTGGGCCCGGCTGCCAAGCGCAGGTGGAGCGGGTGCTCCCGGTCCGAGAGCTTGCAGGCGTAGACTGGGTGAGGGGAGAGGAGCGGGTCATGGGCAGGCGCAGCATCGTTGCCCAGCCTCACCCCCACCACCCACCTCGGCATCGCTCCCCGGCCTCACCCCCACCACCCGCCTCGGCATCGCTCCCCAGCCTCACCCCCACCACCCACCTCGGCATCGCTCCCCGGCCTCACCCCCACCACCCGCCTCCAGGCCGCAGCACCAGCCCACACACCACCCTCCCCTCCTGTTACCAGCAGCCCGCAGGGGGATGAAAGCTATACTGTTTTCTTTCTAGCTGCACAATATAAACTACGCCTTGATCAAAAAGGCAATAATTTTCAAGAATTAATTTAAATGGATAATCCTCCCCCAAAATGGGCCTATAATTAATTCTGCTCCTCCCTTTAGAAAACAAGATTAAAAAAAAAAAAAAAAAAAAAAAACTTCTATAAAAAGGATCTGCAACCCCTTTAAAAACTATAAAAAGAGCCAAAACCGGTTTGGCTCAGTGGTTAGAGCATGGGCCTGAAGACTGAAAGGTCCCAGGTTCGATTCCTGTCAAGGGCGTGTACCTTAGTTGCGGGCACATCCCCGGTAAGGGGTATGCAGGAGGCAGCTGGTTGATGTTTCTCTCTCATCGATGTTTCTAGTTCTCTATCCCTCTCCCTTCCTTTCTGCAAAAAATAAAATATATTTTTTAAAAATAAATAAAAATATACCATCCAAAGAACATGAAGTCAGAGCTCCAGGAGCAAATCTCTGCAGATTAATTGAGGATCTGCAGCCACAAACAGAGTCAGAATACAAGCTTGGGTGACTTTAAGCACAGCTATATGCCTCATCTCCCTCTCCCTCTCTCTCTCTCTCTCTCTCTCTCTCTCTCTCTCGCGCGCGCGCGCACACACACACACACACACACACACACACACACACACACACAGTACTGGCATTGCCTGTAATGTTAAAAGATTTGCAGCCACGAAGGCAATATCTCAACAGGACTGCACAGCTGAAGTCCAGGTGAGTCAGCAAGTAAGCTGGCAAGATAAAAACGCCATCCGAGCTAATCTCCATTCCTTTGGCACTTCAGGTACAACTGCACTGCAGGTGCTCATTTCCCTCCAGAGGTGAACTTGCCCCCCTCACTGAGCCTGTGGCCTCGAGATGGGAACCTCCGTCCATCCAACCTCAGTCCATTCGCACCTGTATGCTGCAGGGCCCAGCCCATGCATGGTATGTGTTCCCAAAATGTGCATATACTCAGCAACTAGCTGGGTTCCGTCCTCATGCAACTGAGGGCATTCCAATCACGTTAGCATTACCTTTTTCTAGAGCTGCTTTAGGCTTTACCCCAGAAAAACTAGAGAAAGCAAACAGTTAGTTCTGCCTGACTGGCATGGCTCAGTGGTTGGGCGTTGACCTGTGAACCAGGAGGTCACGGTTCGATGCCCAACCAGGACACATGCCCAGGATGCAGGCTCAATCCCCATTGTGGGGTGTGTAGAAGGCAATCGGTGATTCTCTCATCATTGATATTTCTAGCCTCCCTCTCTCTTCCTCTCTGAAATCAATAAAAAAATATATATTAAAATTTTAAATAAAAATAAATAGCTGAGTTCTCAGTCACCATTTTCAAATGATTACTTAAGTCAATCATCACTCAATCACTGTTGTCCACGACTAGTATCAATTTCTGCCCGAGAACCTGACTCCACATAGAAATGTAATATTCTCTTTCTATCCACTGACTGTGGGTATTATGTTCAGAATGTAAGTGCCTCTGGGGGACTGGGTGCCAAAATGCCCCGGTGTAATGGCCAGAGGCAAGCCAGGGAGAGAGAAGAGCTGGGCTGGCCACGCACGCACGTTAGTCCGGATGTGCGGTCATACACACGGGCCTCCCCAGCCTCGGGGTCTCAGAACAAACCCACCAGGCCGCGCCCTGTTCCGCTGCGCCTCTAACCTGCAAACGTCAAGCGCGGGCATGCTTTTTGTCCTAAAGGGCCTTCAAACCGAAGTTTCCAGAGAAAACCAAAGCCATCTCCCTGCACAAAGGTGCTCATCACATGGGATGCCTGAGCTCTCCAGGTGCACACTGCCCAGCTCAAACCTACGGACAGCCAGCACGCACCGTCCACGCCCCCCAGAACTGTCCCGGCTCCCAGGTAACGGACGGACACGTCCACCAGCCCTCCTTCTGCCAACGGGCACAGGAGACAAAATTAAAGAAAGCAGAGGCCCCGTCCCTCCTGCGCGGGCCACGTACCTTGATCCTCCCGGTAACAGCGTTTATAAAGTGCAAACTTGGCGGGGCTCTCGGTCACGAGGAACTTCTTGAGCAGGGCCTCGATCACCTCCCCCACGGTGTTGGTGCTGCTGATGTGGAGCGTGTTCATGCAGCCGCTCGGAGACGCCTGCGGGGGCTTGCAGAGTTCCATCTGCACCTTGATGAAGCCAGTGTACGTCCCATTCGGATTCTGAAGCGGGAAGAAAAGCAAGCGCACTCTGAGCTGCACGGGTGGCGGCACTGGAGGGAAGGGTCAGATGAAGACAATACAAGGAAGGACGGGTTCTGTGGCCACACTTCACCAGAGAGCACTGCTCTGTGCATGACCTCTGAGGAGGTTACGCCCCAGCAAAGTGCTTCCAGAGGCAAGGTCTGCAGGGCAGATGTGGAGACAGCAGACGCCTCCCGACACAGGCCGACCGAAGCCCAGACCCACGCCTCTGAAGCTGCACGGGGGCCCCCAAGCGAGGGAGACAGCCCGCTGGAGCAGATGCTGGCCAAACCACAGGGCTCCTTAAGGCCTGGGGCACAGGCCTAGGCTCATGCACGAGGGAGAGACATCTGTAACTGGGACCAGCTCTGACAGAAAAGGAGAGTCACAAACGGGGCTTTGAAATACCTAAGCCAACAAGGAGGAGGCAGTAAGAAAACAAGCTCTGTCCTCCTGGCTGTTATGTTAGGCACTCGATTACTAATGTCACTGAATCTCTCTTACACAAATCACCCCACGGAGCACAGGGTATGCGATGGGCTTCAGGCACCTCAAGCAACTGTATTTTTAAAACAAATTCAAGCGACAGTGTGAACTATAGATATTATAATATAAGCAGCTGTCTTTTTCTATTTAACAGGGTATTTGTTTCCCTCTGTATATACAGTAGGTCCTCGGGTTACGTCGGAGATCCGTTTCTACGGCGACGTAATTTTCGCCGTAAGTGGGAACCCACCTACGCACGCACCTACGCACAGCAGTAATGAAGTGAAACAGTAAAAACACTTAAAAGATAACAATCCCTGACCTTTGCTTGTGGTAAATAAATAATAAAAAACATACAGCACATATGTACATACATCGAAATGACAGAACTTTTTTTTTTAAATAAATAAATGGGATGCTGAAACCGGTTTGGCCCAGTGGATAGAGCATCGGCCTGTGGACTGAAAGGTCCCAGGTTTGATTCTGGTCAAGGGCATGTACCTTGGTTGCGGGCACATCCCCAGTAGGGGGTGTGCAAAAGGCAGCTGATAGATGATTCTCTCTCATCAGTGTTTCTAACTCTCTATCCCTTTCTCTTCCTCTCTTTAAAAAACCAATAAAATATATTAAAAAAATAAAAATTAAAAAATTTTTGGGAGATGGCGATGTAACCACAAAACGACATATTTTTACTAGTTTTAGTTAGGATATAACTTTTATACAAAAAAAATCCCTGCATATATTTAATATATACAATTTGATGAGTTTTAGCACCTATCTTAACTTATGGTAGAATTACTATGTTTTAATGGCCAAGAATGGTAATAATGGTCTTGTTTTCACTTTCTATTTTACATTCAGTATATATATATATATATATATTTTTTTAAATATTGTAATCTTTTATTTAAATAAATTATCAGGTGTTATGTATAAATGACACAGTTAAAATAGGACCATGATCGGCAAACTGCGGCTCGCGAGCCACATGCAGCTCTTTGGCCCCTTGAGTGTGGCTCTTCCACAAAATACCACGGCCCGGGCGAGTCTATTTTGAAGAAGTGGCCTAAGAAGAAGTTTAAGTTTAAAAAATTTGGCTCTCAAAAGACATTTCAACCGTTATACTGTTGATATTTGGCTCTGTGGGCTAATGCGTTTGCCGACCACTGAAGTAGGACATTAAAAGACTCCTTTATGGCCCACTAAGGGTCTGGTGCACGGTATTCATGCACTTGGGGGAGGGGGTGGTCCCTCACCCAGCCCTGCACCCTCTCACAGTCTGGGACCCCTCGCCCCTCGCTCCTTACGGGCCCCCTGCAATGGAGGCGGGAGAGGCTCCTGCCACCACTGCTGCGCTCACCAGCTGTGAGCCCAGCTCCCTCTGTGGGAGCACACCAGGGGGCAGCTCCTGTGCTGAATGTCTGCCCCCTGGTGGTCAGTGCACATCATAGCGACCCATCGTTTGCCATTCAGTTAATTTGCATATTAGGGTTTGTTATATAGAATTAATTTTCTTCCTTTATTCAGGATCACTTTACAATACTAATTCACTTGTTCAGTCTGGTGGAAAGTAGTATACTACACTCAAAAAGTTTATCTATGAAAACATGGAAATTTGCATATTTTAATTTAACTTTACAGAAGGGCGGGGGGGGGGGGGCGGGTTGTGGAATTTCTCTACTTAAGATGAAAACTGTTTGAAAAAGGAGAACATCACCGCTGGAGTGATGAAGAGTAGCCCTGAGTTCATCTGCCCCTCTCTCCATCTTGGCAGAGCCCCACCAGGGAGGGATCTCTTATCGCAGGGTTTATATTTAAAAGCTCCTCCCCTGGGGTCACAGAACTCAGTAGGGCCTGTTCTAAACAGGTCAGCCTGTCCTTTGCTGAACTCGTCGGCTCAGTCAATAGGCTGAGAGGCAGGGGCCCAAGAGCCCTGGAAACCGGCACGAAGGGATGGCAGGTGCCGCAAGGAAAGTCCCCAAGTGGGGCAGGGCGGTAAGTACAGGTGCCAGTCTGAGTTAAAGGGACAGGAGCACTCCAGCTCGGTAGTCAGCGCTCCTCTCCTCTCCCAGCCCCGTGCTCCCCTCCGCGCTTCACACAGTAGGCACACTGTTGCAGGAGCTTGAATCAACAACACACAGGGAGCAGATACCGCATACCTCACCTTAGTCTCGATACCAGCTGAGAAAAGTCTGAGCTCAATTAGATTTCAGTCCATTGGCACAACCCCTTTTCCTGAAACTTCCAGATGTATTTACACAAGATAAACGTATGTAGGGACTCATGAGAATCTGAGTCACCACCTATATGTTAAACAGGCAAAGATTATACTCACTGCTATCAATCCTTTGGTGGGCACAGAATCTTTTAAAATTAAATGTAACTGATTTTGAGATAAAGCTACTTCAAAGGAATCTGAAAGACTCAGAAACATTTTCCTGTCCTACATACGAGGACCATTAACCTTCTGCAACTGTGACTCAGAGACTTTAAACAGAGATGGATTGTAACAGCAGCGACTTATTTGTTTTTTACCTCCGTCAACCTGGAGTGTGTCATGGGTGCTTACCAAGGTCATCTTCAGCTTGTCTGTCACTGCTAAATTGTACTTATGAATTTTCTCTTGGATTTCCTCTTTGCTGAGGTAATTGTGGGTTTCCTTCTCTTTCTCCACATCCTAGAAGAAAAACAAACCATGCCACATATGAGCAATCAGAGGAAAAATGCAGATAATTCAGAACTCTTGACACTTGAGATCATTATGACCAACTGTGAGATACTTTACCTGGAATAAATCTCTCTGTCTCTCTCTCTCTCTTTCTCTCTTTTTCTTTCCCCCCCTCTCACTTTCAAACTCTCATCTACCAACTATAGTTGTCATTCCTTTAGTCTTCCTGAGGGATATATCAAAAACTAATTTGTCAGCAGCTAAAAGCAACACTTCATTAAATACCGTTTTTTGCAAAACTGTCTTTGCTAATTTTCCCTTCTGCAAAAACACCATTCCCTAAAAGTACCTACTAGATTGCCTATTTCATTTAAACACTATATAAAGGCATATCAAAATCTTCTCTTTAGCAAATTCTATGACCTTTATGCTCTTACAGCTTTACAACAATGTACAGTAGTTAATAAAAGTTAACTGGCACTAATCACCGACCTGTCACATTACATACAATTACCAGAAGGAAATTTATTTTCCAAACAAATCCTCATGTCAAGATACAAGTAGCCAGACTCACCCACTCTCATCCCCTCCCCCTACCTCCCCACTCACTCTCTGCAGGGACAGCACCAGTTCAATGCTCGTATCCCTGTGAAGAACTCACTAGTCGTGTATTGTGTCCAAGAGCTCAGCCAGCGTATGGCATCATGCAAAGTCTACCATGTGATCGCCGTTGGCCAAGCTCTGTGACCCCTGGAAGGCAGGTATATCAGGCATCCGGCTTGTTTAACCAGGTAGGTGGTGTTATTTAGCCGCGTAGGTGTCATTATTACCGTTTCCCAACCATTTAACCAGGTAAGTGTTACTATTCCAGTTTCCCAATGAGATCAAGTTCCAAGCACTAAATTAACCTGCCAATAGGAACTTAACTAAATCTGTGGAAGCGATGGAACTTATCTGCAGTCAGATCCCAGAGCAACACCAAACACTGACTGAAACACTAAGTCCTCCCACAGACCGTCCTCACATGATCCTCGCGACAAAAGAGCTAATTAGCACCCGCGAGTTACAGACGCGGACGCTGAGACTCGCAGAAGTCCAGTGGCTTGTCTGGGTAACCCAACTAGTTAAGAGACCATGCTCAGTTTTAATCCAGGTCCTCCGCGCTGTGTCCACCACCCGAACAGGTGCCCTCGGTTCCCACGCGGGTGTTGGAAAACTTAAAGGCTACAAAATCACATCCGAACCAGAGGAGCAACTCAGACAAGAAGACGGAACCCTAGCTATCTCCAAGACAAAAGCGGAAGAGCACTTAAAATCGAATGATTTACCCCCCCCACCACCACCAATTAAACCTTTGAAGAGGGGCCATGGTCCCAGCCGAATCCACAGCACCGTCCTCCCGGCTGGGGTCCACCCAGGCAGCCCTTGTCCCACTGCTCCCTGGGAGCCGGCGTTCCACACACCGGCTCCCACACACGGATGGGCAGGATGGGCAGGTGCCGGGCGTGCACGGCCGCCGTGAAGACGTAAAATGGCTCCTGATCGGTTCAGGAGCTTTGATTCTAGACCCTGAGAGGGGTGTGCTGACTCTAAATGATCTCAGAAACTTTTCCGTGTCCGCACTGTCCTGGCAGGCCGCGTTGGGTAATCAATACCAAGGCAGAATGGTCTTCTCCTCGTTTCAGGGGCCGGCCTCAAATTCCCCTGGGAACATTCTATCTGCCACTGTAAAGCCCAAAGCAATCCCATTGTTTGGTGTCACTGGTTGGGGGGGGGGGGGGGGGGAGATATAAATAAAAGGTGTCTATTAAAATAACGTTCCAGAAGCTTCAATGAGTATTTCCAAGGGAACTTAACGCCAGCAGTGGACACTGGTTTCTTTCATGTCAGAACGGGAGAAGCTCTCCTGATTGGAAAACTTTCAAACTGTTTATTTACCCCTTGAAAGGAGACCCCCTTTCCTCTCAGACAAGAAGGAATCCCCACCCGTCCTCCTCCAAATACAGTGCCTTCGGGGATGCAGCTGTCTCAGCGGGAAGGAGGAGGGACCCTGGAAACCAGAGAGACAGCAGGAACAGGGGCACCAAGAGAGAAAGCAAGGAGCGGGTTAACAACAACCAGTGCGGAGGGCGCGGAGCAGATAACACAGTGTAAACAGTCATCTTTAATTGCAACAGCGAGGAGAGGAAACGGTGGGGCGCAGCGTCTGGGAACCCGTCGAGTGTTGTTCTTGGCAGCCGGAGGTATGGTGCCACCCCCGAGGGTGTCCGACTGGGAAGCTGAAGTCATCTTCATGAGCCACTTTTATACTCCCCACACCCTCCCGTTTCTCAGAGGGGGGGTTCTTCCACGCAAAATCACAAACCCCACACTCTCCTCTCATGTTTTCATCCAGCAAGCCGGTGAGGGCAGCTCTTGGGTTAGCTTTAGTTCCTGGGTGGGGTCACATGGCTGGGGTTTTTTTTTCCACACGAGCCCCCCCCCCTCCATCCCCCCCGTAAACGTTCTCAGAGGGACACACCCTGCCTCACAGACACCAGGAAGCCCCTATGCAGGGTGGCCGGACCTCAAGTGAAAACAGCTCACAAGATCTCCCAAGAATATACCTCTGCAGACATGGGCAAAGGAGAATTGTTTATACTGATTGCCAACTTCTCTGTAATTATGTCAAAACTTAAAAAAAAAAAACAACAACAACAACAACTTAAAAATATAACAGAAAAAAACAAAACAAAGGGAGTGACTGTGTTGAAGAGAGCGAGTGAACGAGCGAGGAGAAGAAGAATGTGTTTCTCCCACCCCCTCTGTGTCAGTCTACTGAGGGCACGTGGCCCGCGGCTCCTCAGAAAGGGGTCTGGGTCACGGCCTGCCGAGTCCCAGCTGTGTGACCACAGGCAAGTTATCCAACCTCTCTGAGCCTCCGTTTACTCATCACATTAAAATGTTATGAAAATACAATACCATCTATTATTCAACAACTCTTTACTGAGTGCCTACTGGAGCCTGGCTCTGTGCCAGGCACTTAAGGCTGGGAAGACAGTTGTGGTCACTGCCTTTCTTGGATGACAGCCTACTGAAGTCTGTCCTATTTCCCCCACTCCACCCCCCTTGGGTCTTTTGGTTTTTATGGGTGTTGTTTTGTTTTGTTTTTGCATCACAAACCTCTTTATGAAGTAAAGCTACTGACCTTTCTTTTCAAACTAGAGGCCTGGTGCACAAAATTCAGCCCGGCCTGCGCCCTCTCGAATCTGGGACCCCTCAGGTAGGGTCCCTAGGCCTTGCCAGCGTCCAGGGCCTATCGATCAGGGCCTATCAGAGCTTTCCTTCCCCAGCTGCCGGCAACTGGCCCCGCCCCTACTGCCACTGCCTGCCATCTGTGCTGTGCTACTCCCTCCCCCCACCCCCACCAGTCACCTCCCTCTGTGGGCACCAGGCATGGGGTGCGATTGTTTGGCTGGCTTGGGCCTCCCCCTGCAGGGTGATCAAAGAGCCCTCCCCACCCCCCATCCCCCATAGACTGCCCTGCTGGCCGGTGGTCTGGGCCTCCCTCTGCAGGGTGACTGTGGGGCAATAGCAGGACCCTGACCTTGGCTGGCCTGGCGCCAGTGCATGTCATAGCGTGGTCATCCATCCGGAAGGTCACCCAGACAGTCGTTCTGCTGTTTGGTTAATTTGCATATTATGTGTTTATTATAGATATTGAATGCTTCCTGAGTTTATGTCCCACCCTTGTACAAGGACCATGCTAATCTTCTCTGTATCGTCCCAATTTTACTAGATGTGCTGCCAGAGAGAGCTCTACTGACCCTCTTTGAAAAAAAAATGCAAATAGCCTCGGTTCTCCAACTGAGTGCTTGGTGACAGGGGCGAGGCCGACACTCAGTCACCATCTCTCCATGGTGGTCCCACCGCTCTCACAGGTGCTGCTCGGACCCTGGCCAGGTCTGGGGTCCGGCCCAGGGCAGTGGAGAAGGGGAAACGTACTAAGGCCAACAGGTGCTTGTGCTCTCTCTAATTGAGACTAGGTTCCAAACTCAAGGATTCCTCCTTTCCATCTCATTTCCAGTTGTGGAAACAGGCAATCACCTACTGATGTCTCAAGTGGTACCCAGTGCAACACAGACAGGACAGGTGCCAGTCTTATGCTGGGCACCCTTCGCCCTAAGCCTGCACTTCCTGGGAGCAGCGGGCCCTCCCTGCAAATGGAATTCCGGGGCAGCCCAAACGGAATGGAGACCCAGCAATGATGCCATTCGAGGTCTTCCTTCCAGGCTCTGTTCCAACAAACACCCCAAAGCAGCAAGGACCGACCAAAACAGAACCATCTTCCCCGGGAGACCTCTCCCTCCCCCAGGTCAGGGAGGGGCCACAGAGCACATCATTGCTGTTCACGCTGTAGCGCAGTATGGAGCCAGCGATTCCCAGGAGCCTGAGAGCACGCTGTTTGAGGACTCCAAAGAAATCTTCAACAAGTCCAGTTCAACACTCCTGAGTTAGATTTTAAAATATGAATATGACTGGCAGGGGAAAGCTGTCCCGCCATGTAGGTCGGATGTGGAAACCCTGGGATGGATACAGGAAGGGCTGTCACACACAGCTCCACCGGGAAAGCCGAGGAGGGCTTTTCAGGCCGGGAGCCCGCGGTGCTCAGCCCTCAGGACTGTGTGTGGACAGGTTTATATGGACAGTCATGATGTCACTTCCGATACCGTAAGATTTTTATTTTGTTGCATTTAAAATCGTTTTATTTCCACAATCCTGGTGCCATGAGACGTTAAAATGGACAGGGGCACGGGGGCCCAGAAAGTCCCGCATGAGGATCTGCACCACCGGGCCGCACGGTGCTCCCCAGCAGCGTGTGTGTGTGTGTGTGTGTGTGTGTGTGTGTGTGTGTGTGTGTGAGCGCGCATGCGCACACCATGGGGGAGACGTGCTGAGCCTGCGCTCCTCCCACGTGTCTCTCTCGGTGCTCGACTGGACAGTGTGGACGAGAAAGTAGTGTGCCTAGGTGCATCGGAGAACGAGGAAGGAGAAACCCAGGAGAAAGCAACATCAAATACTATGCTGAGGTGGAAAGACACTGTTCTAGCCCCAAGCAGGCAGCTCCGTTGGTTGGTGTGTTGTCCCACACACCAAAAGGTTCCGGGTTCGATCCCGGGTCAGGGCACGTACAGGAGGCAGCCGATCAATGTTTCTCTCCTCTCTCGCTCATCAATAAACATACCCTTGGGTGAGGATTAAAAACAACAACGAGAAACGACAACTGTCCTAGAGCACACAGGATTCTACTCCTGAAGGGAAGAGATCGGAACAGCTGTTTCTGGGGAGCAGGGCGCTGCTGTTCTTGACCTTAAAAGCACATGTGCTGCTGGCCGCTGTGTTCTCACGGTACCAGCCCTGCCCGCCAGCCGGTGCCATGTCTACAGACGCTTATCTTGGTGTCCAGCCATGGCAGCTGATTCATCCTGTCCACACTAGGGTGTTTTGTCCTGCCAAATGGGAAGGTTTTTATTTTTATTTTTATTTTATTTTTTACAGAGAGGAAGGGAGAGGGATACAGAGCTAGAAACATCAATGAGAGAGAAACATCAATCAGCTGCCTCCTGCACACCTCCTGCTGAGGATGTGCCTGCAACCAAGGTACATGCCCTTGACTGGAATTGAACCTGGGACCCTCCAGTCCGTAGGCCAATACTCTATCCACTGAACCAGGAAAGGGGTGTTGTGTGTGTGTGTGTGTGTGTGTGTGTGTGTGTGTGTGTGTTTAATGGGAGGATGTAGAGAGCTAGGTTTCTATTTCTATTAATGTGAGGATTCAGAGATTCAACTTGCCCAAATTCAGCTTGTCCGCAACTCTTCTATGCAGCCATATAAGATGTTTGCTGTTTATAATATTTCCAAAGAAAAAGGAAGGGAGGACTGTAACAGCCCCCTCATCGGCCTTCAACCAAGAGGGCATCACTGGGTAGAAAAGGTAAATGGCGGGCAGTGCACACAACACTGCCGAACGGAAGAGCCACACTCCCAGAATGCCCCGGGGTGCTCTATGGACAGACAGGGCACTCCCGCCTCCTTTCCCAGAGTTCACTTTTTAAAGCATATTTCTATTGATTTCAGAGAGGAAGGGAGATGGAGAGAGAGAGATGGAAACATCAATGATGAGAGAGAATCACTGATCGGTTGCTTCCTGCACGCCCCCTACTGGGCATGTGCCCTTGACCAGAATCAAACCCGGGACCTTTAGTCCGCAGGCTCATGCTCTATCCACTGAGCCAAGTCGGCCAGGGTCCAAATTTTTTTTTTAATATATATTTTTATTGATTTCAGAAAGGAAGGGAGGGAGGAAGGGAAGAGAGAAACATCAAAGATAAGAGAGAATCACTGCCTTCTGCACACCCCACACTGGGATTCGAGCCCACAGCCCGAGCACATGCCCTGACTGCGAATCGAGCTGTGCCCTCCTGGTTCACAGGTCAAGGCTCAACCACTGAGCCTCACCGGCTGGGCCCAAAGTAATTCAGAATGCTGAAGGCTCTGGCAAGTCCTGCAGGTAAGAACCCTGTGGAAACACCAGCAAGGAAACTTTAGAACAGGCTTAATAATGTTACAAGTGTGGCATTTATTAATTATGAGCTAACGGGTACATTATACAAAAGGACAGATATTTCTCTTATTAATTATTCTCTTCATAAGCAGTTTCTGTATTCATTAGGGAACATTAGGACACCCAAACCACATCTGTTGAATGTGACAATTTTAAATAACCTCTCTGTCCCCAAGGCTACTTGTTAAATAACAAAGGGGGCAGCAAAAGGGAGTCTAGGTGGGTATTTTAGATAGCTTCCAAAAAAATGGACTTCCAAAATAGAACTAGGCAGCAGCCTTATAAGGATGCATCATGGTACTAGCCTCCTCTCACATACTGGTGCGGGAGGCAGATCAAAGTGTGCCATCTGCTGCCTTTCAGCTCTCCCGGCCTGCCCCCCCCCCCCCCCGCCCTCACACAGCCTCCCACTCAGTCACACCTGACTCCCCGAGAGCACCCTGTGCACCTCACCCTGCTCCTCACCTCCTGACCCTCCGGTGAAGGCCCGCCCCCCCCATGAAGCAGGCCTAGCCGCTCTCCTCTCTGTCTTAGGAACCCCCATGGCGCCCATCCATGCGGATTTAGCATCCACAGCACCTCCAATGTTGGCTGGGTCTATGTTTACTTTTAAAAATATATATATTTTATTAATTTTTTACAGAGAGGAAGAGAGAGGGACAGAGAGATAGAAACATCGATGAGAGAGAATCATCGACCAGCTGCCTCCTGCACACCCCCTACTGGGGATGTGCCCGCAACCAAGGTACATGCCCCTGACGGGAATCGAACCCGGGACTTCTCAGTCCGCAGGCCGATGCTCTACCCACTGAGCCAAACCGGTTTCGGCTGTGTTTACTCTTGCCTCCCAACAAACCAGCCGTGTCTTGAAGTCTCTCACTTCCCACACTGAGCTGGAACTCGCCGGACGCTGGGCCCAGAGGAGCCGCCGCACTCCTCTCTGCACGGTTCTGTCCGCTCAGAGCCCACAGCTACAAGGCAGCATTTGCGGTCAATCCTCTTTTGTACATCTTATCAATCTGCATGGTGTTGTGGTTTTTTTTTTTTGGTTTTTTTTTTGGGGGGGAGGTTTGTTTGCTTCTCCAAACTGAATGAATCTGCAAGGGCACACAAAAGGCCTTTATAACAGCGGATACAGTTTTATGCGCTTCTGCTATCCATTTGCACCATCAAAGCAGCGCGCCCTTCAAAGCGTGCCCCTTCAATGCCCGCGCACACCCGGGCAGCCAGCGCCGGCGGGGGCCCAGCACGTTCGTAAGATTAATTGCCGCTGTGATACACATTAAAGGAGTTTCATCTGGGCCTTCCATGACCTCACTTTTCAAACCCCCCCATGACCAGCCTGCCATACCCTATAAGGCTGTGCTTTAAAAACTGGGTCGCGTGCCAACAGTCAAACAGCCGCTCGTTTGTTTGGAGCCAGAAAACAAACTTGGAGGTGGGCCGTCTCCCCGGAGCGCCCCTGCCTGAGGGCCCAGCCTCCAGGCTTACCAGATTACACCGGACTGAGAAATCGCAGTTTGACATGCTTCCAAGGCGAGTCAATTAAGATGCTATTCATCTCCGAAAGGTGATACATTTCACAACTGGTTTAACTTTCTTCCAATTCTAGGTGAGCTGGGTTACAAAGAAAGCTTATTACAGGCCTCCGAGCCTCGCACACCCGGCCCAGCCAATCCGCTCGGACCATTGAGGAAGAATGTGGCGGAAGGTGAGTCAGCGCTCCTAGCCTCAGCACACCTCTTGCGAGGTCTCAGGAGCGAGGGATTCTTAGCTTTTCAAAGTCAGGCCCGTTCCCCAGGACTCCGTTTCCCTGGTTATTGAGAGAGCACTAAGGCCTGGCCACGTCGCTCGGTTGGCTGGAGCATCGTCCCAATATGCCAAGGTTGCAGGATCTATTCCTGGTCAATGCACATACAAGTCTCAACCAATACATGCATAAGTAACGGAACAACAATTCTCTCTCTCTCTCTCATCAAGAAATGTTTTTAAATGACAGCATCTGGACACTCAGCAATAAGTTTTCTAATGCTCTATCCAGGGGTCCTCAAACTTTTTAAAGTGGGGGCCAGATCACGGTCCCTCAGAGAGCTGGAGGGCCGGACTATATGAACTACTAATTCCTACTGTAACACCTCGGCTGCGCTCACTGCCCAAAAAACCTGGCGGGCCGGATCAGACTCCTCTGCGGGCCA